AATCAGGATAAAGTGTCCAAACAGAGAGAATCTCCACACTGTTATAAAGATGGCGTTTATTAAAGAGGAGAGTGAAGATGTGAAGATTGAAGAAACGTTCAGAGTCAAACATGAAGATCCGCAGGAACAAACAGGTTGGTTTCCATACAGATATTTTTAATAAGAAGACTAGTAAATTAAATCTATCTTGCAGCCTTGAGTGTGCTGCCTAGTTCCCCTAAATGCACATAAACGCTCATTAAAAGACAGGAAGAAGTGTGTTTCTTGTTACTTGTTCCCATGTCTTTTGTCCTTCTTTTTATGTATTAGTCTCCCATTTTATCTACCTTCTTAAAGGGCTGGACGATATGGCAAATATATCACAATATATTTCTTAATTTCGGTTGATACGGTATAATATACCGATATTGATATGGACAATATTAAAAAGACTAGAAAAAACTGCCAAGAACGCACACAAAAGATGTTTGTACCTACAAATGTCTGTAAACTGAATTTGCAAAGTCTTTAAAACCTCCAGGCTCTTATAATTTTTTTCTAAATAAAAAAAAAGTACAAAAAGTTTTCGTTCAATTTTTATTTGTATTTAGCCTTTACAAACTGATAATTAATGGCACTTTTTTTTAAATTAATTGCGATTAATCGCATTTAAAATACTGAAATTTGTAGTTTTGGCTATTCAAATGTAAAATTAATGTAAACGCAACACAAAAACTATTGAAATTTAAAATATAATTGTTTATTAGAATTTTTGTTTAACTTGTAACACAGATTTCTTCATGTAAACAACATACCCACAATAAACCATCAAGATCCCGGCTTGACAGCCATAACCTGCAACTGCTTTAATTGCTTTAATTTCTTTTAACACGTTAAAATTTTCAAATTAATCGCATGCGTTAACGCACTAATTTTGACAGCACTAATATATATATATATATATATATATATATATATATATAGATATATATATATATATATATATGTATATGTGTGTGTGTGTGTGTGTATGTTTATGTATATATACATATATTTATAGTTTTGTTTTTGTATATGCTGAATATTTAACAATCAAAATAATACCAAAATCTTACAATTATGACATCCACATCGTTAATAAACAGAAAAAGAATAATAATTATAATAATAAAACAAATCAAAAAGAGTATAGGCTACATTAATATTTGCAATGGAAAAGACTTGTTTGAGTATATTCATAGTTCTGGTTGCTTTTCATCTTAGTACTGGCTTAGTACTTTCCATTTCCATTTGATCACTATTTCTTTTTTTTAATCAATTTCTTTATGGGTTTAAACTTGTTTTTAGTAGTTGTTACTAGTTCTCACAGATGATATCTGAGTTAGAATTACATAATTATTATAATAACTACTTTTCCAGGGCTAATGTGTTTAAACAGGGTTTCCACAGGGTCTTAAAATGTCTTAAATTCCAAAATCTAAATGTTGGGCCTTAAAAAGTCTTAAATTTACTGAAATATTGTATTGTAGGTCTTAAATCTTTTTAAACAAGACTTCATTTTCCTTTGTTCATGTTTTGCTATAAAATCTGGCCAAAACCCTTACAATCACCAACAATCCATCTCAATAAATGTTTATTTTTTTATTAAAGAAATGTCATTTTTTTCAATTTTTTTATATTGGTTTAATTATTTTCCTTAATATAACATTTGTTTAAACATGCTTTATGTATTCACTGCTAAGGAGATCAACTTGGACAGATTGTTGTGCATAGATTTAGTTTATTATACTTTTTAAAATGTTTAAAACATTTGTTTTTAATTTTTAAAAAAGTGTATGTTTCAAAAAAGTGCATGAATACATGTAAAACTTGCTTGTTTTTACACAATATTTAAGATATTTTGCTAAGAAATATATAAAATGTTTTAATTTATTTTTATTCATTATTATTACATTATTAAATGTAATAAATTATACTATTTTTTGATAGGACAAATAAAAATCGTTTTCATCTGGGCCATTTGAAACATTCCTTAGCCTTATGAGTCTAAAATTTTATTTATAATGGTCTTAAGCAGGGGTCACCAACATGGTGCCCATGGGCACCAGGTAGCCCGCCAGGTTCACATGAGTTGCCCGCGGGCCTGTTCTAAAAATAGCTCACCATAGCACCACATATGAGTAAGCTGCATCTAATATTTTTATAGGTATTATTTTTAAATCACACTTGCATTGGCGTAAATTTGAAAATTACTTTAAGTTATATATTAAAAAAAAATAACTTTAAAAACAATTTCAGACAAATGAAGTGTTGCATATTGATATTTATCTAACTTGTTAAATCATTGTTGACAACTACTGTGAGAAATCATTAACATGATCAATGCCTTCACATAGATGAATATTATTAATTATTAATAATAACATATAATTAAAAGTAAATTAAGAAAAATGTGTTATTTAATAACTGGTAGCCCTTCACACAAATCGGTACCCAAGAAGTAGCTCTCAGTTTCCAAAAGGTTGGTGACCCCTGGTCTTAAGTCTTACATTTAACTTGGTGAAGCCTGGTTTACAGTATGTCAAATAATGTGGATGCCCCAATAATAAATATGCTGAATGAAACGGACACTAAAATAATTAATTATTATAAAACATTGTACAGTATTCTAAACTATATGATGTGTTGGGAAAACATGAAACAAAACAAATTATAGTGGAACAATAACGATTAGCATTGCACTGACTACAACTGGCCAACAAATAGTCTACAAATGACTTTTTCTGTGTAACAAATGGATTACAGCATTCTTCTGCCCTCAGCCAAATGTACTTATTTAGCCTATGCAGCAAGCTAAACATAAATGGCTTCAGTAAGCACTCGTGAGACAGTGTAGCATTCTTTGAAGCTTTACTGATGTACCACTTGTAATATTTCTTCCTTATTTTCTTTGTAAAACTGTAACAGAAACAATAATGACATGAATATACATTCAGTGTCCTTGTACATACATGAATATGACTTTTAAACTACATACTAGCATGCTATAGGCTAGCGCATGGGAAGACAGGTAGCTCTAATTACTTCATTAACAAATATAACATGCAGTAACACAAAAGGTCATAATATTGCTAAACAAAGCTCTAATATATACCTAAGCAAACTAATATACATTAAACTTACAGATCATGCCTTATCAAGGGCAGAATACCAAGTTGTAAGCAGAGACACAGCACGTAGGTCTTTCCACTGCAAGAGCTTCTACAAAATGGCTACTCTGTTCTTCCTATTTCCTGTCACTTGCTGCTTTCCGCAATGTGAACACAAGATGGCAGTGTTCGTTTAAAGAACAATTACAGAGCCACTGCCTTTTAATTCAATAACACAATCTACAGGGCAAATTACTAAGAACCTTTTAATTATAATTTTCTTAATGAAGAAGAAAACATATAAGGGGCAGAATAAGCATGCTGACGATATGCAAACATTTGAGTGTAAAGTTCGTCAGTATTGACCATATTCTTCACGTACCAGCAGGTGCCGCCATTGGAATCTTTTTACCTGAGACTTTTTAAAATATATATATTTTTAGATCCTAAAAACAGTGTTATGCTGCTTAGGCATGGGACGATAACAGGTTTCAAGTTATATCGCGGTTTGAAAAAAGTCAAGGTTTTAAAACCACCAATATTTTCTGGTGCTTCTGGTGTGTGACCTGCAGGCAAGTTTGTTATTTTATTTCTAATGGAGAAACGCGCACACATGAGGCAACGCGCTTGCACTTTTCCAGCTGCATCTAAGATCACAGGAAGCTTCTGTGTTCACGAGAAATGCAAACGGCTGATGTTTAAGGTAGACACAATGAAAAGTGCACATGTTTGCAAATCTACCAAAAGGTACAAACAATAATTCCCATTAGAGCAATAATGTGGAGAATATTGATCTTGTGTTGAGCCCAATGAGCCTTGCATTTAAAAATAGAGCAAGGGTGTACCTTTAGTGATATCGCTTTGACTCAAATGCTAAAAATGGCTAACATGAAACAAGAAACTGAGGATATGATCGTGACGCGCCACTGTCAATCAATATTGGTGGGTGGGGGGACCGCACTCCTACATCAAGTTGCGGTTGATCTGAAAACAGCTCCAATTGGTCCACCGTTTTTTTTTTTTTTTTTATGTTGTTAAATTGAAAAACAAAAGGATTGTGTCTGTTTATATTACCACAATATGACAAACTAGAAACTATACTTACACACGTCTGTCCAAACAGCTTGAAAAGTAGATTTTGTATACATTTGTATATGGAATATAAATCTATTAAATCTAACTAATTCAACAGGTTGTCGCCTATAGAGCTGCAGAAATAATGGTGTTGCCTTAAAGAATTCCCTATCTGTTTTAGAAGTTTTACAAAAACATGTTGTTTTGTTGTGATTACGAAAATATACAAATAAAAGAACTGACCGTTTACAGCTTTCAAATTTATGTCTCATCAATATGACTAAAAATGATCTAGAATTAATCATACAAGAATCTGCTTAAATGTACATGTGTGTCATGGACCCCAGGATATAATGTGCATCAAAATTAAGGTTTATGTAGCCAATGTTTTCAGTGTCTTTAACTTCAGCTTTTGATGAGTTTTTAATGATTTACCAAAAACTAAACTTTTTTTTTTTTTCAGACCAAATTAAAGAGTATGAAGAGAGTAAAGAGGAGGAACATCTTGTCAAAATTGAGGACAAAACTCATTTAGAGACTGATGGTGTTTTAAAAGTAAGAGACAAGAGTCGTATTACCTGCAGTCAGTGTGGAAAGAGTTTGGCAAGCAAAAGCAAACTTAAGATTCACATGAGGATCCACACTGGAGAGAAACCATTCACTTGCACTCAGTGTGGGAAGAGTTTCAACCAATTATCAAATCTTAATAATCACATAAAGATCCACACTGGAGAGAAACCATTCACATGCACTCAGTGTGGGAAGAGTTTCAACCAATTATCAAAACGGAATAATCACATGATGATCCACACTGGAGAGAAACCATTCACTTGCACTCAGTGTGGGAAAAGTTTTATCCACTCATCACACCTTAATGAACACATGATGATCCACACTGAAGAGAAACCATTCACATGCCCTCATTGTGGGAAAAGTTTCAGCAAATCTTCATCGCTTTATAGACACATGAAGATTCACACCGGAGAAAAACCATTCACATGCACTCAGTGTGGGAAGAGTTTCAGCCAATCATCATATCTTAATAAACACATGATGATCCACACTGGAGAGAAACCATTCACATGCTCTCAGTGTGGGAAGAGTTTCAACCAATCATCAAACCTTAATCTACACGTGAGGATCCATACTGGAGAGAAACCATTCACTTGCACTCAGTGTGGGAAGAGTTTCAACCAATTATCAAATCTTAATAATCACATAAAGATCCACACTGGAGAAAAACCTTTCACATGCTCTCACTGTGGGAAGAGTTTCAACCAATCATCATCCCTTAAACAACACATGATGATCCACAATAGAGAGAAACAATTTACATGCACTCAGTGTGGGAAGAGTTTCAGCCAATCATCATACTTTAATAAACACATGAGGATCCACACTGGAGAGAAGCCATTCACATGCAGACAAAACAACCATTAAAACCAGAAAAGAAAAAGACAGACGGAATAGCTGATAGCCTGTCAGCTAGCATTGCAGCAATACATACGGACATCAAAGCTTTCCGGATGGATATTAAAAGTCAATCAAAAACTGGATGGCCTTATCATGGACCTAAACGCAACCGCAGAAAAGGTCAACGAAGCAGAGCAACGAGTTGGAGAATTGGAGGAGAACAATGCTGGGAGGAAAGAAATGCTCAATCAATCCATCCATATTCAAGAAAATTTACAAGAGAAACGGTGAGATCTAGAAACACTCTTCCGTAGAAATAATATTCGGATCTTTGGAATCCCGGAAGGAAGCGAAGGGAATAATATCCAAGACTTAGTGGAAACGATTATCAAAATGGAGCTGTCACTCGACGAATATGACCTTAAAATCCAACGGTGTCACTGGGCACTCGGACTAAAACCACCCACTGATGCAACCCCACACTGTAAAAAAATTATTTCCATGATTTGTCATCACAACGTTATTTCTTTTGTCAAGTCAACTAGATTCACTATAGTAGTTGAGATAACAAAAGATTTTTAGTTTAGGTTGATTAAAATGATAGCATGGTGGTAACTCACTGATTTAACATGAAAAAAATTAGTTGATTCAACTAATAGATTAGTTCACTTGACTCCTGAGACTTCGTTTACCCTGTGCAAGCGCACAATGCTCCGGGGTCAACACAGAAAGCATTGTCATTTTCTCCCCTTTAGAGACGAGCAAGTTTTATGGTAAGTCCTTTTAAAAATCCTTTTAAACGTTTCAAAAATGTTGTCTAAGAGTGATTTGAAGTATTGCTGAAGAAGTTAGCAGTGGTCAAAAATAGAACTTTATTATAATTTTGCCTCAAAATGTGGATGAAAGTCATTAATGGCCTCTGTCACCTGGTCCTTTGAGCATAACATTACCTATCAACCCTGCTGTTTTTTCCATATTTTACAGTTTTATCCCGCTATCATCCCATAAAGGTATTTTCCCTATTTTTTCCTGTATATTTTTAGTCTTTCTCTGAAGGGTGGCAAATAAACATTAAAGAGTCGAGCCTCCCTATACGCAACCCATACCGCCGAACCACTAGAAGGCGTCGATTGTTCTTAAATACGAGTCTGTTCTGTGCTTTTGCCTTGTTTAGGGTAGGAAAACACTTTGAAGTAAACATTAATACGGCGTGATTCCCTTCCTTTTCATTACAGGTGAGGTCGCCCCTTCATATGCATGTCTCAAAACAGTCATATAACTTAATGGTGCATGACTGTCAGGTGACGCGCTCTATAATGATGAAAAGACACTGTTTCCCAAACTGATTCTGTACACGCCATTTGAACAGGAGCAAGAGTCTGGGTTTTGGGTGAGTGTTTAAACAGACATATACACATAATTAATAATAATAACATATAAAGATGTCGATCTTGGTGGTTTTTTTGGATTTCGTCCTAAATGAGCATAAACAGTTAGGAAAGCAGATGAATGCTTTAATTATAATGTTAGAGGTGTGGATTTTTAAAGTGACACCTCTATTATTAATGTAATCAAACTAAAAAAATCTAAATTAATCATTTATTCTCTGCTCTATATTCAGAATGTGTTAGTTATACAGTGAAGAAACGGCTTATGAGATTTGATATTGATTCTATTTCATTATAATAGCTATTAATATTAAATAAGCTGATCTTTTTGCTAATGTATTTGCTGCTAATGTATGCTATTTATTTTTTCTTTTGTAAATAATAATAAAACTTATTACTGACCACTTAACTGTTTATTTACAACGAAACAGCTTCAAATGAGCATATTTAGTAATATGGGCATTTTCTAAATAGGGTTGTCATATTATGGTGGGCATAGCCCTTATTTTCACATCTTGACAGGTATGTCCTTTGAGGCTATTTTGACTTATAACATTTTGAGACTGAACATTACATGCACCATTTAATAAGCCTGTGAAGCATGTTGCTGAAAAAAAAATGCTTAAATAATTTTTACATGTAATTTTAGTCTTGTTGACCGTTGAAACCTGCCATTATACGACACCTTGCAACCTAACCCCGTCACACGAGAGGGAGCTTTCTCAGCCTCAACGCCCACCATAAACAGGGGAGCAAACTTGTCACCTTTCATTCTGAAATTATGTTGTTGGAATCACATGTTTTGGGAATCACAGGAACAGTGCAGATCTGTAAAACACAGTTAGGAGAAGGCAGGTCTCATATCGTAAAGGCAATATAAAGGCTAGGATAAAAATACATGTAAAAGAAACTCTGTATCAATGCAAATGTGTGACTGTCCCTCTTTGTTTCACAAGCTTTTAAACCAATGATCAGGGCAGCTTCAGTCACGCCAACCAGTTCTGTCCAAACCAGCTGCGGGTCATGCTCACCGTAAACAAACTGGATTGCGGGCATGCAGAGAGATGGCGTCAGGTAGGTCTTACGCACACTGGAGAATCGGCACACTAACGTTACATGTAAATCAAATCATTTGTTTAGTTTTTCTACTGGACATGAACCGTAATTGAAAGGCTCATGCTTATTTATTTACATCTGTATTTTAACATTGTTCTAATTAAACACAGACACTGTGACTATTCAGAAGCCTGCATGTTATATGTATAACGTTAGCAGTAATGATCAATATGTGTCAAGATTCACAAAGTTGATAAAAAACAAAATGTAGAACATGGTTGTAGTCTTATGACAGCAAACAGCATATGGCCTATTGACTTGTTACAGCGATGCTGTTGAAATTAATCCTTTAATGTGACATTTCAGACTTTTGCCAGCTGTTTGCTAATATGATGCAGATTACACAGAAATAAAGAGGCCCAACTTCAATATTTCTGCAGAAAGAAAGTTTAGGGTAAGTAATTTTTAAATTCATTGTCTCTATCATATAGAAATCCTAAGAGTCTGTGCCTTATTTTTTTAATAATTTATTGTAATTTCACTCACAAATAAAAAAATGGCTCACACTTCACTTGTTCCAAACAAGTTTGGGTTTCTTTCTTCTGTTTACCACAAAAAAAGATATTAAAGAAAGCTGAAAACCTGTAACCATGGGCATCAACAGTACGGGAAACAAAAACTATGACAGTGAATGGTTACAGGTTTAAAATATTAGTTACTAATACTTTAAAATATTGGCTTGTGTGTTTAACGAAATAAAAATAAAAGCTCAAACTTGTTTTGAACAAATAAAGTGAGAGTAAATTACATAATTTTTTAGTTTTTTTATGAAAATACAAAATATATATAAACTATATAAACTTATATAACTAAGTTTACCCTGAACTTATTTTTTTCTTTTTAAATATCAGCATATAATAAATCGTGTGGAGTTTTCAAAAAAAGGTTGGAAATCACTGGTGTTTAACATTAAAATAATTTAAAAATGAATCAGATTTAAGGGGGCCTTCAGTCTTGTTTATTTATGTGACTGCAAATGCATGTAAACCAGTGCAAGAGGCATGTTATCTCCTTTTTTGTTGTTGTTGTAAAACATATAAATACCAGATATATAATTTGTGTACTTCTGCAAAAAAAAAATGCATTTCTGTCATTGTAACTTTTTTTGAAAACCACTGGTCAGGTCTAAAGCCTTAAAGAGCATATTGTAGGTTTAAAATCTATTTTTAAAAAAGGTAGAATTGCTTGTGAAAATACTATAAAATACCATTTTAAAATGTTTTACGAAGCGCAAGGGCACAATTTTTTAGGAAAATGTGTCTGTTTTCCCACTTTCAGAAAATCCGCTTTTTATCTAACCACCCCAGTGACGTCAGACTGGGGACTTATTTGACAGGCGCGCACTGTTTACAATGAAGCAGAGTAGCATATAGCAGAAACGGTCGTTAGTTTTGGTGTGATTTATTATCATCATGGTATATTATTGCGTTTATGGGAACTGCACAAACCTGTCAGCATATCAAGTCCACAAGTTTCCCGTTGTCATTTTGGTTGATTTTTGTTCATAAAATGGGATGAACCCGATAAAACCAAAAGCTGACTCGAAACGGCGAAACGCGCTCCTGGATCCTTGGAGATGCAGCTCAATGAAAATGAGAACTGTACATGACTGTACATAACTCATTTTCTTTAATATTTGTCAACTTTCAAATCAGAAAGCATGATTATTTGAATAATTTGAAGCAACACAATGTGTTTATGTTGGAGTAACCTACAGTACAGCACAGCTGTTAGCTTGTAACATAAGCATGTTAAATATGTAAAAATGTAAACATATAATAAAACTACTTGTACCATCAATTTGCTTATATTATAAATGTCTTATACAGTTACAGCATAGTGACTTTGTTTGTTCAGCTAATTAATAATTTATTGTCATGTGATGTGTTTTTAAGGCTGTGGGAGACCCATCTGCAGCAGTGATGCTGACCCGGAGCTGAAGGCTTTCTCTCCACAGCCTCTCGCTCAACTGTGCTTCACTTTGGCTCACAGAGTAACCTCAGACCTTCACCTCGTTCATCAGGTAGATAAATTTTTCTCCTATCTCAATTATACATGGTATTATCTGTTTACAAAAGCTAGAGGGGGAAATAATTACTAGAATATTTCTATATAATGCAGACATGTAAAACTCAAACACTATCTTTGACTTCCTTTTTTTACTATTGTAAACGTGTAACTATTGACTTCCATAGTATTTGTTTTTCCTACTATAGAAGTCAGTGGTTACAGGTTTTCAGCTTTCTTCAAAATATCTTTGTTTGTGATCAACAAAAGAAAGAAAGACAATAAGTTTTGGAGCCACTTAAGGGAGAGTAAAAAATGTTCTGTCCTCTCAATAAGGAAAGACATCTTTTATTCACATATGAGGAAAATTCCTCTTGTAGAAGAAAAACAAATAACATTTGAAAAATGTAAGTTTGTTCACACATGCTCAACTTATAATAGGTACAATCTATATTTGTGAGGTGGTATGCAGTTCACTATCCAGGGGTCTGCAAATGTGGCTGGGTATTCTGTATTATGTTATATTAAAATCATATGGTAAATTTTGAAATATACATGATTGATAAAGATGATTGAAACTTTTGCATTATTTCCGCAGCATATATGCATCAACCCTCACTGCGTCTCTGACAGTGGAATATTGGAGGTCATCACAGGCTCGACGTGAATGCAGAACTGTCCACGTTTGCTTTCTAGATTCTTCCAGTGGGTTTACAAGGATGAGGCTGTCGGCATCTTTTTACACAGCATTCACAATTTAGCACACATTAAAGACATGTTAGTGTGGCACCCACATAAATGTTGGCCAATTTACTGAAAAATTATTTTAAAAGGTTTACTTTTAAATGGGTCTGATCAAATATTTTTCTTTCACTATGCACACACTCACACAGATACTTAAACATATATAAAGAGTAAACATGCTGGTATTAACACTGCTTATGATTTTGTGCTATATAAATAAAACAAGAATTTGAGTTGAATTAGAATTTGAACTTGAATTAGGGTTGAAGTTTATTTAACCATAAATGCAGATAAGATCTGTTGATCAAATTTTTGCAAACAAAAAGTTGCCAAAAAACACATATTTTAAAACTTATTTTAATTGTTTTAATATTTGATGTTGTTGTTTTTTTAATACAAAACCTCTAAAAACCTTTAGTATAATAAACAGATTTTTAAGTACCTTGTTTACATGTTTCTGCATTATTCCAGACGTTCTGTGTTATTAGTGTTTTGTATTCACTTATCTACAATTAAAAAATAGGGTCAATGTGGCATAACTCTGTTAAATGCTCATTAGTTCCTGTTACTGGTAAGTATTAATACTTATAGATGATGTTCTTATGGCATTACAGATCAATTACTCTTCTCTGACTGCTGTTCTGTCTGCTGGTGTGATCACAGGCTCATAATTGTATGGCTGCGGTCCGTCATTTGAATATCTCAGAATATCTTATCTCGCCATCAAAACGGACGCTGCGATCAATTGTCTTCGTACTGTTTATTTACGCAATCTCTCTCGTCCTCACGTCCGGTATTGTCTGGCAATTTTTTTTTTTTTTTTTTTTTTTGCCTAAGAACATTTTTTTTTTTTTTGGACAAAAACAACTCCAGATGGCTTTATAATAAACTTAAACGTTAATTAAAAAAAATAATAAAGTTCCTACTTTACTCTTACGCACATTGGCTCACTGAGGTGTCTAACCTACAATATGCTCTTTCAGACCAAACATTTTCACATGTAACGGGCAGACTTTAGTTTGCCTTAGTAAAGCATTGAGTTTGACATTAATGCTCAATATTGCCCCTGTCACAGCTTGTGACCACTAGTTCACAGGTTTTAAACCATGTATTTCCTTGCAGAGCTCAAAACAATGTAAAAGAGCTGTTGTCCTGCTTGGCCTTCATTATTGCAGGAAAGTAGTCACCATCAAGTTCATCAAAACTTGTGAGGTATGTAAATATATTAAATATGTGAATTTGGTTTAATATTTGTTTTTGTTTTTTTTTTTTTCCAAAAGATTTTCTGTTGGCTTTCTTTGATACTGTAACACTATTTAAATGTTTATTTCCCCAAGGAGAGGGTGTCTAGTATGTAAAGTTCTTTGAAATAAATGAAATAATTTTTTACTATTTTTAATCATGTCCTTAATTGAAAGAAATTTTGTCATAAAGTAATTAAAAGATTAAAAGGAAAGTTCATCTAAACATTTATATTCTTATTTACTCAAGTAGTTCTAAACTTTTTATAAATTATTTTTTTTTCTGTTAAAAAAATATATATTCTAAAGAATGTTGGAAAATAAACAGCCATTGCCTTCCATAGTAGGAACAAAATACTATGGAAGTCAGTTTTCTTCATCTATCTAACTTGAAAGGAAACTGGTTTGGAACATATGGAGGATAAGTAAATGACAACTTTCTTTTTTAGGTAAATTGTCACTTAAAATCCATTTGCCTTCTGGAAACTATGAGTTATTCACATACAAGCTTTCTGATGTGGGCATACCTCTGTTTAAAACTGATTAATTTTTAACTCAGATGGTGTGTAAATTTTGTGATTTTTTTTTTTTTCTAATTCATAGTTGTTGTTTTTTCTGTTAGACAACTGATGAGGAAAGCCTCATTCACACTACAAGCAACTCACAGAGGCAAAGTGACAAGCGACCATTCATTTCAACAGAGAGCGTGCAACTTCCAGTGACCTCCGTCTACTCAAGCGACAGCGATCGTTGGCAACAAGGTGGGCGTGTCAAGGGACATGGCAGCGTTGAGAATGCTTAAACTTTATGCAAATAAAGAGCGACTTTCTTGAGCGACAACCAATGGGAACACCAGTAGAGCTCATGTGATCCTCTCTCAGCTCGCTCAGAGGCTGGTTGTATTAGTGCTGTATAGACCTACACAGACCTGAATTTGAAGCAGGTCGCCAACCAAAGCGACAGGCAGCTGCGAAGTCGCTGCTATTCTGAATAAGGCAAAAGGCAGTGAAATGAATAAATATTGGACTATTGATAGTCATAAAGGAGATCACCTCGAATCTTCATCCAAAAGAAACAGTGAATGTGGCTGTGGTGTTAGAGGAAGGCGTTGTACGATGGCCTGAGTTATGTCAGATGACTTTGCTTTGCTAATAGGGTTTCTTCTTGCCCTGAATATCACTTATCTCAAGGAAATCCAATATACATTTCACATCCTCCAAAAAGATCCTGAAAATTGGTGGCTCTGTGATTCTTACTCTGTGAACTTGCAGTTGAACTTGAAGTGTTTAGTGGATTTTGCTCACCCATGCTCAAACTTATTGATAATCATGTTGTTCATTTAACTTTAAGATTAAGCAACTCATTATATTTGATTGAGATATATTTCTTAAAGAAAAGGGTATCATTTGTTGGATGATAAGCAACTTTATTGTAAGTGATTATGTTTTTCTTGTTCTCGCATTACACTTCATATTACACAATAGCAGACATTCTGTTACACACACTCTATATCAACTCTGTCTGCTACAATTGCTGTTTAACAAAAAATCAACAAGTCAGAAGTCTCAAGAAACACTAAAATGCAGTTCTTAAACAGCATTAAAATGAACCTTTTCAAATGTTTTTTCGTCTATTCAACATTTTAAAGGCTTACAACAATTCATAATATTTTATAATAAAAAGTGTGTTTACAATTGTTCTGCAACATATTCAAATAGACATTCTGTTACAGAAATTCTGTACAAACTCGTGTTGTGTTGAACTGCAATTCTAGCAGACTGTTTTATACGTAACTCAAAGAGAGTGATGTGAATTGTTTAATATGAAGTGTAATGCGAGAACAAGAATCACCACTAACATTAAAGTTGCTTATCATCAAACACATTTTCTCCTTTTCATTAAGAGTAAGCAACAAGTTACACTGGATTGAGATTTCTTTCACTTTCTGGAAAATGGGCCGGTCATGTACAATTCGATGATGGAGGCATCGAGATCTGAAAGAAAAAGGACTGATAAACAACAAAGAAAAGAAAAACTATTGTATGAATCTCTGGGAAAGTGAAAAAAAAGACTTTGGCAAAAGGTTGGAGTGATATCGAAGAAAAGTAAGGAAAAACATTAAGCGAAGATCTGGGAAAAACTATGTGAATTTCAAAGCGACAACACTAGCTATGTTTGAAAGAAAGGCAATACCTGACAGATCCCAGTAAAGCAATCTGAGAGACTGGTAAAACTTCTTGACTTGATTCACTGATGATAGACATTTAAATTGTTTGAAGGAAGAATGTTATTTAATCAGACTGATCAACGACACAAGATAAATGATTAAAGCACACTCGATCACACTCGATTAAACAAGACTCGAGTCATTGAGTAACATACTGGAAGGAAGACATAAAGAGATTCTAATTTATACACTTAAAATCCCTTGCTATAATTAGTAGAAATATTTAACTTGAAAACGTAGCCAAATAAAAATACAAGAATATAATATTTCCAGAAATGGGCGCTGAATATTTTCATTAACATTTTTTGTGCAATAGGCAAGGCATGGAGGGGCCCTTTAGAGAAGGAAGGCTTTCCCTTCACTTTAAAAATTTATTTAACACTTCATGGTTTGGAGACCTTTTTTGTTATGTTTTTTAAGTGGTTCAAGATATTCATGTTTGTGTTTTTCATTTTCCGGTCACAGTGATCTTCGCAATAACATCTGATTATAGTATATGCAAAAACAGGAATATAGAGTAATTACTTTGAATATTAATGGGTTACTAAATTAATGGGCTACCAATAATAAAAACTATGTGAATTTCAAAGTGACAACACTAGCTCTGTTTGAAAGAAAGGCAAAACCTGACAGATCCTAACAAAGCATTCTGAGAGACTGGTAAAACTTCTTGAATATGTTTTTACCAGTGTAGAATATGTTTAAAGGGCATCTAGGTTACCCCTTTTTTCAGATTTAATATAAGTCTTTTGCGTCTCTAGAATGTGTATATAAAGTTTCAGATCAAAATACCCATCAGATTTTTCATTATACCTTTTACAAGATGCTGTTTTATACTGATTTCCAGCAGGGGGTGGTTTTGTCGAACTGCGCCTTTAAGACGAGTCTTTCCCGCCCACTATTTCTACATGCCTCCTCCCTCAGCTGACTTAAAGGAAGAAGGTCTCAGGTAGCGTTTTTGAGATACTACAGTAAGAACTAACCTTTACTAATCAGTATTGTGAACACACGCACACCACAGATGACACGCACGCACGCAGGCAGGCAGGCAGGCAGGCAGACAGACAGAGCGCGCTTAGCTTAGTAAAGGCTAACCTCAAGTACTGTGTGGATATCTGTTATGCTAATGTACAAAATAAACCTGATTTAACTTCCACAAACCGGGATTGAAGCATCTTCTTTTATAATTGTTCTGACACGCGGCTGTGCTGATGAAGTAAAGCTGAAGTAAAACGCTGTAATTAATTACACACATACTGTTTTAAAACACTTTAAACATGTGAAACATACTCTTAATCACATTTGATGATGATTGCTGATCCTAGCGAACTGAACAGACCTTTTATTCCCGGTTGCTTTGCGTATGTCTGCCTGGTCTTGTTGACATATACACACGCGACTACCGGAACATGTTAATGCGCGCAGCTGTCAATCAATTCGGTGGGCGGGGGGATTGCACACCTACGTAATGGTGCGATCGATTTGAAAACAGCTCCAATTGGCCGACCCTTTTTTTGTAGTTAAATTGAGAAAAAAAGGACTGGGTGTGTTCATATCACCCCAGTATGACGGTCTATACACTATACCAACACACAGATCTGTCCAAACAGCTTGAAAAGTAGATTTTTTACCATAGGTGCCCTTTAAAAAAAAAAAAAGAACTTTTAGAATATTTAAAACATATTGATAACAGAGAGGTGTCACCTAGTACCCTATAGGATGCTGCTAAAGCTGTTATGCGAGGTAAACTTATAATGTGGGGATCAAGGGAAAAAAAAAAAACAAGATTACATAATCTGAATATACAACTTAAAGAATTAGAGACTACATATGGTAGTAAAAAAGATCCAGATATTTTATTTAAATCAAAGAAGTTAAAGTGGAACTCAATAAAATACTCAATGAGCAAGTACAATTAAAACTTACATTTTTAAAAATTAAATTTTATAAAAATTGTCCAAAAGCAAAAAAGCTGGCA